CAAATTGGCTAATTCATTCTATCATCCAAACTAGATACCCTGAACAATCCCTGACAACCTCTCTTCCCTTAGACATTTTATTTATTGATCACTGCTCTGCTATTTCTCTCAATTTCCTTCCTGTCCACCCTTCTCGATGTCTTAGTTCCTAACGTGCCATCAGTCTTCTGATGGATTGCCCCCATTTTAGTCTTCCCCCCTCTGATTTTTCCTTTTCGCTGGTGTTAGTAGTCTGCATATTGATGATATAGATGTGATCACTCCCTTGCTTTTTAAGGCTCAGACTGTGATGCAGCTGTCACAGGAAGGGATAAAACACACAGAAAAGAAAGAGCAGTGAGTCAGAAAAGCCTGATGGGGGGAGAAGGCATTTGACGGGGGCCTTGCGTGTCAAAGACACTCAGCAGAGGCCCAATGTATTCAAGCAGAAGTGCCCAACCACCTTAAAAATGCTAAGTGCCACAAAATTGGTGAAACTATTTTTCTGCATTTTTATGAGACCACTGAGACCACTGGGAAAAATTTTTTTCTTTTAAGATGGAGTCTCACTCTGTCACCCTGCATAAAATGTTGTGGCATCATCATAGCTCACTACAACCTCTTGCCTCAGCTTCCAGAGTAGCTAGGACTACAGGTGCCTGCCACCGCGCATGGAGAGGTTTTCTATTTTTAGTAGAGGCGTGGTCTCCTCTTGCTCAGGCTCGTCTCAAACTCCTGAGCTCAAGCATCCTACCTGCCTCAGTCTTCCAGAGTGCTAGGATTACAGGCGTGAGCCATCAGGATTGGCAGAGAAATTATTTTGAAAGTTGTTATCTTTTTTTAAAGTAAAATAAAGTACCCTATAATTTATATCCTAATCATCAAAGGGAAGGTTACATTAGTTTTAAAATTTATAACAAATATGTTCGTCGAATCTCAATGTTATAGGAAAAACCTAACTGAATGATTTATAAAGGAGTCAATTCTTTACTTTAGCTTAGTTTTTAAAATGCGCTTATGCTGGGTGCAGTGGTGCAGGCCTGTAGTCCCAACTACTCAAAAGGCAGACATGGGAGGATCACTTGAGCTCAGGCGTTCAGGCCAGCCTGGGCAACACAGCAAGATCCCATCTCTTAAAAAAATAAAAAAATTTTAAGTTAAAAAAAATGCCCTTAGCCTAAACTATTTTATTACCCAGTTCATTTATAAAAAGCAGTTCTGAATAGGAAATATTTACTAGTCAAAAATTTTAACACCTAAATGATTTCATTAAAACTACAAAGGACATATTTTAAAAATAAGATTAATACCAATGACTTGACAACAGGACTTAAGATCAAAATTACTACTTCAAAAAACTATAAAAATGTGTGCAAGTGCCCATTTGACTGAAAAAGCAATATTATCCACAGAAGTAGTTTTATCAGGATTCTGCAGATACCAGCTTTACTAACAAACAGTGGCCCATGCAACAATCACTCGGCAAGTTACGTGCACCTCTGGTGGCCTAGGAAGTGGGTCTTTCTTTCTGGTTTATTTTCACTTTGAGCTTTCCCCTAAAGGTGGTGTCTAGACAGGGTAATGAACTGATAGCATTTAAGATGACTCAGGAAGACTTCTGAGCACTCAGTGGGATTAACCCCTGGTCTAGAAATGATGGACTGTTGAATGACCACCATAATTGAAACTTGTGTTTATCTTCATTACTTAAAGAAAAACAAAAAAATGTGTTTTTAAAACACACCGGTCAATCCAACACCTGGGTGCTTTTCTACCCAGGGCTGAGAATGGGTATTTAAGAAAGCGACTGTCTCTACACTGGGAGAATTCTGAACCTACAGTCTTCAATAACGTTTAGCTACGTGTCACATCAAGATCAAAGTTCCATCCAAAGAGCTTTAACTACACATAACCTAATAAACCATTTACACTTTCTCCAGCCCAGGCTGCTTCAGATTTGGACCCTGGAGCGACATCACTCACAATCATCAAACTACCCTAAATTGCTGGGCAATTGATCAGAACATATAGATCTGATACAGGTGTATAAATTATATTTTTATGGCACCAAAACACACATATGAAAACTTTTAAATTCAGGCAACTAAGCAGGCCAGATGCCTACATATTTGGGAAGACTAACATTGTCTAGGAGGCACAGAACAGCTGGTAGAAAAGTGAAAAATTCAGTGACTTAGGTTGTTTGATTATTTGGAATCAGAATGTTCAAAGTCGAAAGGACATTGTGATCGTTTGACTTCGGCTACTGTCCAACAATATTCTCTAGGGCTGTTGGGGCTCCTGGATGGTTACTCTGGAAGCCTCCTTCAAAGCTGTAAGCGTGTGGCCAAGGAGAACTAACTACGTCAAGTGGCCTACACAGAGACCAAAGACAGAAACGAAAGCAGAGAATGGAGTCAGTTTTCTTGGGGGGATGTTCACGGCTTCCTGTGCACACTGGAAACAGCTCCATGCTGATTTGGGTTAAAACACCAGAAGCTTCTTTTGACAACATAAATTAGCCTTCTATGGGAATGAAAACCTTGTAACTGTTGCCTTCACAGGGGCCAAAGCAATGGATTTCAAGTGGTAACTACAATGTTCTAGAAAACTTTGTATTTAGAAATGTTTTCTCCATCAGGGTCACAGGCAAAACAAGTCACAACCCAGTTGTTGAATTTGATGTTTTCTCTTTTGTGCTACCAACAAATTCCCATAAAAACCCCTCAGAAGGGGTTTTCTCATCAGGCATGAAATCATTTAAGTGTTGAACGGGGTCCGTGTCTGATGTCATAACATTTAAATCCTTGCCTTTGCTGATCTGAACACTCCCTATCGAGACTGCCCTCTCCCTAAATGGAATAAGTGAAGTCACAAGCTGACCTTATTATCAAGTTTATGATAGCTTTCTTTGACTCTTCTGGAAGGAGAAAATTTTACCATCCATATTACATAGGTTGGGCCTTAAGTAATGTTTGCATTTAAACAATGGGCAATAAGCAATAAAAGAGATTTATTTCATGGGAATGTGCCCAGGGCCTGTGAGCAACAGGAAATACACCAACATGTGGAGTGCCTGTGAGGTAACAGGAATTCTATTTTACATGAATGTGTGAAGTGACAATTTTTTAAAAGACAAAAAATAGTGTTAAAAGTGGAACTGGCCCCAGTGTGCTAGGCTGTCTCAGGGACGGTAATCTCAAAGTCAGTGATTTCTTCATAAGCATGAAATAAGTTTATTGCAACTTGATTGCATCACCTAAAATACAGCCCTTGACTTGAAAACTTGCCCTTATGTTTTATGGGGTCTGAAATAAAAAGGAAACTGATGGAATTAAACCAGCAAGTTATTTTGCAACCCATGACTGCAGCTGTACACTGCTATCCAGCATGTGTAGTCAATTGTTGAGAAAAGTTGGACCAAATCTCCATCCTGTTCAGGATTGTTGATAGCTCTGTTCAAGACATATTCTTGCCTTTTGTGTAATTGCCATGATACAGATACAATTCTGTAAACTTTTTTAAAGGGTAGGGTATCACTAACTTAAGGATTCCCAAATATCTTGATGGTTTCAACTGGGGAAAAACAAACATCTGCACGATAGAACAGAAATTTAATGATCTCCGATGCTTTCAAGTCCATACAGATAAAGGTTTATTCAATGATTATCCTCTTATCAGATTGGTTTTGAGAGAGGTGAAAGCAGAAGAAAGAAAAAATAAGGTATCGAATGAAGTGAAATTCAGATTTAATTAGATTGCTTAGGCAGTTTTTGTTTCTTGGGTCTATTCAAAGAACTGACTAATACTGAGCAAACAGAATACTATCAAATTATATCTCAAACTTATTTTATGAGCCAGTCAACCAATTAGAACCAAATGCTGATGAGGAATTATTTCTTCCAGCAGGCCTATCCTCCCTGATTTTACAAGTTAGTTCTATAGTTCAAGAAAACTTAGGTCTCCTTGGGTCTTGTATATTATTTCCCTTAAGCTTGATTTTATTTATTTTTACTGAAAGGCTATGTATAATAGTGAAAAATGATAAAGAACCTAACTGTCCAACAACAGGAAAATGATTAAGTTGTGGCATATCTAAATCATAGGAATGATAGGTAGCAAATTAACAATCCTTACTGAGAGTAGCTAAAAACATGCCATGATGTTAAAATAAAGATATAAGATGACGTTAAACTTATCAACTGTGCGTTTACACTGGCCTGTTTTTAGATACAGGTTTAAAAAGTAGAAAGTTCTATTCTCTTCTGGTTTTGACATTGAATTCTGGGGCAGTTTAAAATATTTTCTTTGGCTTGGTGCGTGTGGCTCAAGAGGCTAAGGCGCCAAACACATACACCTAAGGTGGCGGGTTTGAATCCCCAGCCCGGGCCCGCCAAACACAATGATGGCTGCAACCAAAAAATGGCCAGGCGTTGTGGCGGGCGCCTGTAGTCCCAGCTACTTGGGAGGCTGAGGCAGGAGACTCGCTTGAGCCCAGGAGTTGGAGGTTGCTGTGAGCTGTGATGCCATGGCACTCTACCCAGGGGGATAGCTTGAGGCTCCGTCAAAAAAAAAAAAATTTCCTTTTTCCTCCCGACAGCATAGTGTCACACTCGTCTTTGCATCATACACAGAAAAATAAAATTAAATCTAAGTTCTTTTATGTTCCTTAAAAGGTTCATACCCAGAACTCCTCAGAATTTTCTTACATTTAATGTAGAAAGAAACTACGGGTACAAATAAGTAAAATATAATTCTGTTTTTAGTGCTATTAAAGCAGCATAAAAACTGATCACGATTATCATCATTACTTTTATTTTAAAACACTATAGTTTTTTCCATCATCTGGATTTTCAAGTCTCTTCCCCCTTCATGGGAAATGCCCAACCCTAGGAAGATGGATGCCAAACTAAAGGCTTCCAGACACTAACCTAAGTGAGAAATGTTTTATCAGCTTGTAATATTCTGAATTCGACACTATTAGGAGAATAAAAGGTACACAGTTATCTGTGTTCACTTACCGTTATGAGACATCCCCACTGCAAGGCATTTCTGAAACCGACAGTACTGACATTTATTTCTACTTTTTTTATGGATCCGACAGTTCAGATCACACCTATCATAAATAAGCTTCAATCTGATTGTCCTCCGGAAGAAACCCTGCAAAGGGATATGGAAAAAAATGAAGTAAATATTAAGTCTTTGCAATACATGGAAGCAGCAACCTATGGCCAAAGGTGTTCCGGCCTGGGGGTGGGTTCTTGACACGGTTTGACCCTGGTGACTTCAGACAAGTCACTTAACCTCTCTAGAACTCAATTTTCTTTGTTACCGTGTTTCCCCGAAAGTAAGACACTGTCTTATAAATTTATTTTTTCTCAAGAAGACACATAGGGCTTATTTTCAGGGGATATCTTCCTCTCCGCACCGAAATGCATGGCGTGGCTCCCCACGCCCATCACTAGGTCTTATTATCGGGGTAGGGCTTATATTTAATACATGCATAGAAATCCTGCTAGGGCTTATTTTTTGGGTAGGTCTTATTTTGGGGGAAACACGGTACGAAATAAAGAGCTAGAGGATCACCAGGTCCTTTTTTTAGCTCTTAGACGCTTGCTGACCACATCCAGCTGATGTCATTGTATCTTGGCTCTGCACTTGGTTTTCAGCAAGCTCTCAGAAGTGCTCTGGATTTAATGTAATGCAAATACAACACCATGTAATCAGTTCAGTCTCTCCCTGCAAATCATTCCAACAGCATGCCCCGGCCTCTTCATAACTGTGCTAAGCAGTCTGGCAAAGTTATAATCATTTCCCTCTAAAACATGACCAGGGCCAATAAAAATCCACATGTGGATAATTTTTTTGGAATTCTCTCTGTTGCATAATTTCCTGTAGAATTCATTTCATTTATTTATACGGTTGAAAGAGTGCCTCAGACTCTTTGTAGCTTACAGACTGAAAGAGATAATAGGAAATAACGTGAGAAATGATCGATAAATCCCCAGAAAATCTACGGCTATCTCTGAGGATTACGGCACATCCTGCTGCATTCACATCCTTTAGGAAGAAATGGGAACAAAGTCTACTCAGAGATGTTTTCTAACTCCATTCTGGGGGCTCCTCAGATTCTTATCCATTTCTACTGTGTTCATCTCTACGAAACCCGACAGTTAATCCTTTCAAATTTATCTGGCCCCGTTTGGTACAAAACCCACTGAATTAGTGTTGGTTCTGCCACTGACATGCATTTTTGACTTTCTCCAGACTTCTATCTTGAACTCTAGTGTGTTCTACTGCTTACTCGACATTTTCACTTGGATAACGGCCATGCATAACCCAGAGTGTCCCCGACTGAAGCTTGACCTTCCCCTACAAACGCACTCCACTTGCAGACTGCTCCATCTGAAATGATGCAGCTCCATCCTTCCAGTTCATCAAGCCAAAGTCCTCCAAGTCACTCTCGACCTCTTTTGCTCGTGTGGGAAGCTCTTTCTCTAATATAAACTTGCCCATGTTGCCCTTGCGGCCTCCACGTTTTGCTCACCTCACCTTCTCCTCAAGGCTTACCACCCTCCTTCATACCAGGGCCTGCCCTTGCCCCCACCTTTCTTCTGGAACTTTTGATCTGCTTTACTGTGCCATAGTTTTTCATGGTTCCAACAGCACCGTGACTTTCTGACATATCACAGAATTTACTTATTATCTTTAAGTGTTTGTCCCCCCCACCCTGCCCTTCACCTTTCAGTTAAAGAACTGTGAGCTTCACTGGGGCAGGGATTCTCTCTTACACCCTTGGATATAACCCAACCCACTGCTGACAGAGCTCCGTGAAAATCTGTTGGATGAATACACGTGTCACTTAACATTCTTTCTGGGCCTCTCCCCCTTTTCCATCTATAAAGTGGGAAAGCACTCCCATATTTCACCATTTATGATTTTATCGTATCTTTTTGAGATGGAGTCTCACTCTGCCACCCTAGGTACAGTGATGTGGCCTCATAGCTCACAGCAACCTCAGACTCTTGGGTCGAAGTGATTCTCCTGCCTCAGCCTTCTGAGTAACTAGGACTATAGGCATGCACCACGACACCCAGCTAATTTTTCTATTTCAAGTAGAGACAGGGTTTCCCTCTTGCTCAGGCCGGTTTCAAGCTCATGAGCTCAAGCAATCCACCTACTTTGGCCTCCCAGAGTGCTAGGAATGCAGGTGTGAGCCACCGTGCCCGGCTGACTTTTGTCCATGACTGTGATTTTAAACCGTGACTGAGACACGACAAGCCCCATGACCTTGACAAAGTCATCAGTACTCCCAATCTTGTGTTTATCATTCCCTTGCCCTTTAAGAACAAACTGCTTTATCACTTAGTATGTGTAACTAAACAATGCATTGTTTAGCTTTATGCTTGTTCTGAGGCTTTATCAAGCGATATACTAAACATAGCTTTGGGGACTACTCTTTTTTTTTTTTTTAACAATTTGGGATTAGGTTTCTATGATTTATCCACCTTTTAGTGAGAAGCTCTGATTTGTTAATTTTCAAAATTATACAATATTGCATTTTATGAGTGCGCTACAGTTTATTAATCTATTGGCATGTTGATGGACGTTCAAATTGTTGCTGATTTTTTGCTCTGATGAGCAGTGCTTCTGTAAATATTCTTGCAAATATTTCACCATGCACATGTGTGAGAGTTACTCAGATTGTGTGCTATTTGAATGCTAAATTTTAAAAGAAAACCGCAGATTATTTTCCAAAGTGGTTGTATCAGTTTATACGCTCCCACAAGCAGTTTATGGATAGTCTAGCCTCTCCCACCCCTGGTGCTGTCAGATTTAAATTTTTGACAATCTAGTATGTGCAAAATAGAATATGATTTCAACTTGTATGTCCCTTACTTCCCAGTTTTTTTTTTTTTTTTTTTTTGAGACAGAGCCTCAAGCTGTCCCCTTGGGTAGAGTGCTGTAGCATCACAGCTCACAGCAACCTCCAACTCCTGGGCTCAAGCAAGTCTCCTACCTCCGCCTCCCAAGTAGCTGGGACCACAGGCGCCCGCCACAACGCCCGGCTATTTTTTGGTTGCAGCCGTCGTTGTTGTTTGGTGGGTCCGGGTTGGATTTGAACCCACCACCTTAGGTGTATGTGGCTGGTGCCTTAGCCACTTGAGCCACAGGCGCCGAGCCTACTTCTCAGTTTCTAACTGTATTTTCTTTAAATTGAATTGTCATTAAGTAATTAATTTATTATTTTTTTTTGAGACACAGTGTTACTCTGTCATCCTGGGTAGAGTGCCATGGCATTATTATTCTCAGCAATTTCCAACTCCTGGGCTCCCTCCTGCCTCAGCCTCCCAAGTAGCTGGCACTACAAGTGCCCACCACAATATGACTAATTTTTATCTATTTTTAGTAGAGACAGGGTCACGCTCTTGCTTAGGTGGGTTTCAAATCTCTGAGCTCAAGCAATCCACCTGCCTCAGCCTCCCAGAGTGCTAGGATTATAGGCAATGGGCCTTAAATTGAATCGAATTATATATATATGTTTTTAAATTGAATTTTCTAGATGTTAATCAGTTTCTTTTATAGCTGTTGCAACTCTTTTCTCCTCTCTGTGGCTTAGATCCTTGAAACATACTTTTTCAGTCTCGCTTTTCCTTTTAACATGGAAACCTTCCCATTTTGCTCTCATTCTTGGCCATAACTGGGTCCTCGGTTATTCTCTCCCAATACTTTGCGTTCCATGATCTTTGTGCTTCCAGGGCTGCTGTTGAGAGGCTCCTGCCCGCTCATGTCCAAGGTCATCCTTCTCTTCTCTTCGGTTGCTTTTCTAAGCTCCATTTGTTCCCACTACTAGACGTTCTTATTCTCGTCTCCGCATTTCTGAACTTCTGTTTTATATTCTCCATTTTCTTCTCACTGATCACTCACTAATATTGATTACGAAAGTAAAAATCAGAACAGCAGACCAGTAACACAAAAAATATATAATTACATTGGCCAAAGTAAAAACGAACACTTTCCACCAACGTTCTTTAGTGAGGACCACTCTGCATGATCCCCCCACTGCTCTGTGAAGACGACAGACCTTCTTGTGCTCAAACATCTTGCCAACCCTTCAAGAACTGAAAGAACCTTCAAATCCCAGAAAGTGCTAGATGGGACATATTCCTTAAGATATTGTTGGCCTTATTCTCAGTAATTTTTTTTTTTTTTTGCATACCTCTTTCAGTTCAGTAATCTTTTCTTCTGCTATGTTGGATTTTTATTTCAATAATAATTTTTTTAACTTTTAGAAGATGACAAGGCTTATTTTCAAAGCCTCCTGGTCATTCCTGACAGTCTACTGTTGTTTGTTCACTGCTGCGATCCTGTCCTTTCTTCAAATAATTCAGACATAGCTGTTCCATATTCTGTATTGGCAATCCCAATATGTATCTGCTTTCCCTGCTAGGGGCAACGAAATCTCCTTCAGTGTTTCTGTCTCCCATGAGAATCCTGGCTTAATTCTGAAGCCCTCAACTCAGCTCCTCACTGATGATTCAGAAAATGGGACTGTTTTTAGGGCACCTCAGCGCCTCTCCTGGCATCTTCCATAAGGAAAACCCTGCCCCTCTGTGTGTGCGTGCAGTTCACAGAGCAGGGCCTGGGATTCATTTGTCTGTTTCGTTTTATTTCCCTGAAGTTGTTCGGGAGAGTTTTTCTTACCTCTTGTGAGATCAGCAATGTCTCAAAAGAAGATGCCCTGTGTAGATTCAGCTGCAAGTTGAAGGCTCTTTAATTCTCAAAAGTTTCTGAGGACCTTTAAATATCAAAAAAGTGTTTTTTCTTGCAGAAGGCTACCGTATGGAACTGTTCTCACTGATAAATGTTGGTGAGAAATTCTGATTTTTACCATTAGGGTCGTATATATTTCACAATATTTCTTGACTTCTCTCACTTTCACTTTTTAAAACTAATATTTGTGACTGAAAATGGCCCCTGGCGAGCTGACAGGTGGATGGGCCATGGAGCCCTCAGTTACTCCACATGCTAAGGAGGAAGGGTTTTTAACACGATAATCATGTCACTTAAGTTTAGCTTTATAATGCAAATGTTTACTTGACTCATCGATGCCTTTCACGCGTATATCATATTCTTTCTATGATGATTCTAGGTCTTTCAACATTAAAGAACAATCATTCTGAATATCATTTATGTACATAAAATCTTCAACTGGATATATACAGAACCCAGCAAACACCCTGAAACTTGCTTTTGCATTTTTTTTTTACACTGAATTCATGATCACCAATTGTTTTCTTGTTATTTGACTCAGGAATCTAGAGAGAAGACACAAGGATATTACTGAGTCTTTTTCTGTAAAATAATTTTTGATTTGAAGAACGAAGCCAGCTTCTCCCAAGACTTCTCCCAAGTCTTCATATTACTGATTTAAAAAAAAAGTCCCAATATGAAGACTTCTCCCAAGTCTTCATATTACTGATTTTAAAAAAAACAAAACACTCTTTCACAACCTTCTTTATTCGTTCAGAGTTCCTAAAAGAATGCATTTAAAATAACTTACTCTTCTGATGATCACGAAATCTGTTAACTGGAGTGATGAGGACGCCTCCGTCACCATTTCAGAAAATTGTTTTGTGTATGTATTTATTCTAAAGTCCTCACATTTACCTGTAGGAAAGTGAATCCTACTTTTGTTTTGTTTTTGTATCATTTAAAAAATTTCTCCAGCCTCTTCTCACTAGCTTTACTTATAATGAAACTTCGGGGGGGGGGGGGACGGATGATACCTAAGAATGGTATTGTCAATTTTACAGCGAGATTAAAAATCCCATGTTGAACCTGCAGCCTGTTTCCCCATGAAGTGGTCTCACCCATAATCCATGAGCTACCACTGGCAGGTGGAAAGGGATGAAAACCTTTCCTGAGATTAGGCCCTCTGTAGAAACACAAGGGTAGATTACACTGTATTGCATGGTAGACTGTGTTCATTTGTATCTCAGGGTAGCCTACGGTTCTAAAATGATCGTTCGCTAAAGATGCAAGAACAGGATGAAACATACTAGAGAAAAAGACGAATGCCCAGTTTATAGGCAATATCCAAACGATAGCTGTGCAAGCTCTAAAGCATATACATCTATCTCTCAGTAGCTAAAGGTTTTATTTTACGGACGTTTGCAATATGAACACCCCCAAGAATCTGTCACTATTTCACTTCGATCCAAACCCAATCTATTCATTCCCATCTGTTTGACTGAATTTTGGCAAGAATCACTAAAATAAACCTTTTCCACCTGCACTGTAAAATCGTTTAAGGAGACCTACCAACAGTTGCCTTACGCCACACAACTTAATTATGGGTATAATTCACGTTCTACGGAAACGGCAACGTTAAACTGCCAAAGCACCATTCAGAAAATAAAGACGGATGAGTTGCTAATTTCACCTTCCTGGCTTTGCACTGAGTCCTGGTTGTGAGCTGAGGAGGAGACATCACTGATCACTGAAAGCCACCGCGGTATTCAGAATGTGGCAGCAACTCTGTGAGTTCCAAAGTAGTCAAGAGTAACTGTGTCCCTTCAGGCTCCCTGTCTCATGTACCAGTGGGACTCAGGCCTTTTGGTCTCAGGACCCCTCCCCTCTCTTAAAGATTACGGAAGACTTCAAAGGTCTTTTGTCTAGGTGGGCTGCCTCTACTGACGTTTGTCACACTGAAATTAAAACTGAGAAATTATTCTGCACAAGAACATATAAGCAAACATTTCATTAGCCACTAGAGCTGTGTCATCAGCCCAGGACACGGAGCTTCCAGGACACCACACTTATGCTCCTGAGAGACTGAGAGTGGAAAGGTAAGTAACAATTTCTTATGATTATGAAAATAGTTTCATCTTCGTGGAGGCCTTGAAAAATATTTCAGACCACACTCGGAGAACTGCTGACTTATATTTGGAGAAGCCAGATGATATTGAGGCATTCTTCTCATTCTCGTCTTTGTACAGATGTCTGTTTTCCCTTCCCAGGTGAGCATAATTTCCTTTGCATTTTGGTCTAGGAATTTTGTAATCCACACTTTGGACGGTTTGTGAATTACTGCAGGTTGGTTTACAATACTATTCGTTTCTTCTATTTTTTTTTTTTCTTTTTCTTTTTTTAATCCGTGGCAGGTTCAGGACCCCCCTGCATTTTTCAGGTTTTATTAAATGCTTCTCCATCTCTGCCTTCTACCCTCCCAGTCCTAACTGGCAGGGACTTGGATTTCTTTCTTTCTCTTCTCTCTTCTTTTTGCTACTTTCCTTCTTTGCTGGCTTCTATTTTTTAAGTTTTGGTGCCTCAGAACTTCGATTTATTACTGTCACCAACTACTGACAATGTTTATGCGTTCCCATTTTCCGCCATTCTCAGTCATCTGAGCTCTCCACAAACAAGTGAGTAACAGGTTTATGGTGGAACAATTTAAAGGTTCTAATTGTGTAAATACTTCGCCAGATAATATCAAACAGTAACCAGTTAGTTAGTCTTGCTTGGAAACTTAACCTGTTATGCTGCTTTTATTTATTTGCTAGTGTAAATTATCAACGTGATCACAACCGAATGAGTTCTTCAGTTACATAGGGCCCAGAATTTAGCAAAAACTTAAACAAGTATAAATCTCACTCAAAAAAAAGACGTGTTCTTACTACTCCTCAAGGTCTTAGATAATTTTATATCTTATGATTTCATACAAGATCACAATTTTTTTTCCAGTTTGGTTTTAATCACAGAATAAATGGGTTTTAGTGTTTTAACTAAAAGCATCTCTTGGTAGGAAGTAATGCAAGGAGTCATTTTGAAATTAAAGAGCTTAGAGATGAAGGAGGCCTTGGGCAGCCAATTGGAGGGACAGAGTGTGTCTGTCACCGGCCAGTGACTTTAGCAAGTGGCAAAGCTGCCTACTAGCTTGTCTCTTCACTAGCCAGGATTAGGACGCGTTTATAGTAATCAGCTGAATTGAAGGGACTTTAGAGATCATCCAATTCAACTCTTTTATTTTATAAATGCAAAAACGTAGGTAGAATGTGGTCAAATACTGGTGTATGCAAAATATCTCATACCCTGCATGAGATCTGCTGCCTAGTAAAAATTCGGTAAAAATCAGTTTCCTCTTGTGGCCCATCATCCGGATAAAAACCCAGATGTCCTAACTCTTTCCTAACTGTTGTTCTGTTTCTTTATTCCAAACAGAGAGCCCAACAGAGGCAGTGTTTATTTTATAAGGTAAATGTTTATGAATAATTTATTGTGTGCCCTGGAGCATGTAATAAATACTATTTTATTCATTGACTATATTACAACTGTTTTAAAAGATTGCATATTCTTTTAAATATGAGTGGATTAGCATTATTTTCTTAGTAATTAGGCAACCTGTTACTAAGTGTCTGAATTTCCAAAAACACTATTTTTCACAAAGAGGGACAAGCAGTATCTCCTTTCTGAAATTGTCATACCTGCTTGCCTTTACATGGCTCAAAGTGATGCCAGAATAAAGAGGTACAGAACACTGATTCTGGAGTCAATATAAGGAGTCAGAGCCTAGACCTAAATCCACCACTTGCCTTGGGCAAGTCTTACTAATCCATACTTTCTACCTCTGAAATGTGGCCAAAAATAAGGGCAACCAGATAGGACTGCCCTAACGAGCAAAGGATTACAGACATAAGTAACGTGTCACACCTTATATATGTAAAATGAGACATGGTTTAGTGCAAAAAACACGAGTGAATCCAGAAAATCTGGGTCCTGGTGCCGGCTTATCACTTTCTTGCCATGACTCCTTGGAGAAATCACTTTTTTTTTTTTGCATTTTTTGGCCAGAGCTGGGTTTGAACCTGCCACCTCTGGCATATGGAGCCAGTGCCCTATTCTTTTGAGCCACAGGCGCCACCCAGAGAGGTCACCTTTTAAAAAAAACTACAGGATGTGAGGGTGGAAGTAGACTAGTGTCTCAAAGAACCAATTTGGAGAAAAGGATGAAGGGAAAAGGGATCCTACTTTAATCAGTTTTCAAATATTACAGCATTTAAAGAACGGACTTTGACAAAAAAAGTTTGACAATTTTATCTCAATTCCTTGCAGTTTTGCAACCGGAAATGAAAGGACAGGGAAAATTTCATTGAATTCTTTGAAGTTTTTTTTTTTTTTTTTTACCTTGCATCCTTCACAAGCATGAACTCCATAGTGGAACCCAGACGCTTTATCCCCGCAGACACGGCATTCGATTGCCATGAGGGAGTTAGAAGGCTCTTCATGGGGCTTGTTGTAGAGCTGGGTCTTTTCAGAATAGTAAGGTGGGGACGCAGGCTCCATTTTGATTGCGCCTATGTGTTGGAAAAATGTTAGAGGCAAATTATCACGTGAAAAACAGTCCTCAAAAGATAACAGGGCGAGTCGCCAGAGTATACCTCCATGCCGTATTCTTATTATGTCAGTGTAGAAGTGAATGGAACATGAAAAAACAGGGGAGTTAAGGCAAGGAAAGTAATCTTTATAATTACAGGCAAGTCACAACATCTCCGAGCCTCACCTGTAAAAGCAAATGGGGATGGAAACTAAGCGTGTGTCTTTACGACCCCTCGACACCCGGCACTGCCACAGCACAGACACACAACACACACATTTGAGACCAGGAAGCTTGTTCTCTTACAAAAATGCACTGTTAGTTGGCATGCCTCACAATATTAAATGATATATTTTGTTGAAATGTCACATTTTAGAAGTATTTTTAAAAACACTCCCACAAAAGAACATTGCTGTGAAAAGGTTGTGGCATGCTCAGCTTGTAGGTACACGAAAAATAAGAGCCCAGTTGACCCTTAGTGCTGAGTCAGAGGAGGCAGCCTGCAAAATAATCTTTGAGAGAGGCTGGAAGAACCTACAGAAAAGTAAGCCCTACCTTTTGCTGGTTAGGTTCAGGCCTATTAAATTTCCATATTAGGCTCTAACCGAAAACCACACAGATAAATATAACCAAGTGTATTATTATTTAGCTAAAAAACAAAAAAGAAACTAGAAATACAGGAAGTTCTTACTTATCGTCAAGTAATGGTTGTTCAATTACATAGCGGTGGCTTTGGAAAACCAGCATGTCAGCCCACAGGAGATAAAAATCAAGGAAATAGCATCGCAGAAATATATTTTATCTCGAAAAGTGCAGTCCTAGTTTTTCTTGAGTCTGATGTTTGATGCTAATTCGGTTAACGGCATGAAGCTTTATCGATAGGCCACAGCGTTAAAATAGAAATTTGTGCTGAAAAATTGAGTTCAGTATAAACATCTCCAATGACAGATTAGAAAAAAAAAATGGACTACAGTAATTGTAATTTAGTGATGGTAAGTTATATAAGGTGACTTGAAACTGTTACTTATTAACTTATAAAGGGCCAAAAGAATTCAAAGCTTGGATGATGGACTCTTGGCCTGAGTAACAACAGGCAAGGGAATAATTCTAGAAAATTCTCCGAAGGAAGAAGAAAACAAGAAAAGAAAGAAGGGAGAAAGGAAGGAGAGGGGAAACAGGAAAGACTGGCCTGGGCCACCTTCCTTTCTGCATACTGTAGATACCTCATATTTCATGGAATAAATGAATGGTAAATGCCTTGTCTACAAAATTTTGGTCTCTGGAACATTATTTATTCCAGGGTTATGGAGAGGTTAGTCTGATTCCAGTCTTAGTCTGAAAAATGAAAGTAAACATCATACTTTGGTAATCTTGGAGTTTCAGGTCATACTTATAATCAGCAACCATCGGGTCTGCCCTTGTGAATGGGATGTCTTCGTAGTGTGGACTGGAAATGCTGGAGAAGTCAACGGTGGTGAAGGGCTTGACGTCAAAGGCGTGGGGGTGGTCGTCCATCATGGAGAGGTCCACGGAGCTGATCCCAAAGTTGGTGGGCCAGAACGGCATCTCTGTGTCCACCATGATGAGTTCTGAAAGGCAGGGGGGAAAGAAAAAAAGAGTCCCTGTGAAGTTAAGTCCTGGAGAACAGAGCAATCTTCAGAGATACATAGAAAGGGAAGTGAAAGTCTTTGATAAAGTTATCTCTTCTAGGTTATCACAGCGAGAGACGGGAACACAGCCACCTTCTTAGTAGGACCTGGTTGTTTTGACAATAGGAAGGAAGCCGCTGGTCCCTGTGTGGATATCACAGTTGAGAACCCCTCATGGTCCAGATGCACAAAGTATATTCACATAACCGTCCTGACAACAGCCCTGCTCTCATCTTCTACAGAAAATAATTGAGTCTAGTAATGATTCTTTTTATTTATTTAATTTTTTTCTGCCTTTACTGAGGGATCACTGACAAAAAATTTTATATTTCAGGTAGATAAAAAGTGACGTTTTAATATAAGGCGAAATGATGACCACAATCAAACTAACATGTTCATCACTTCACAGGTACCTTAGTGTGTGTGCTGTGAGAACACTGAGGCTCCATTCTCTTCGCAAAGTCCAGTTATAAGGTACAGTATTATTAACCATGTCATGTCACTTCGCTGGACGTTAGGGCTCCAGAACTTATTTATCCTGCATAACTGAAGTTCGAGCCACCATCTCCCCATTTCCCCCACCCTCTAGCCCCTGGCAACTACCGTTATACTCTCTGCTCCTAGGAGTTCAGTTTTTTTGGATTCCGTGTATAAGTGAGTTCTTGCAGGATTCTGTCTTCCTGTGGTTGACTTAGTTCACTTAAGTCTAACATCCTCTGGGTTCATCTGTGTCATTCCAAATGATAAAATTTCCTTATTTGTAAGCCAGAATGATATTCTACTGTGAATATGTGTGTACACACGTATATAAATTAACTGTATTTTTTTATCCATTCATTCATCAACAGATAATCCAACCATTTGCTCCAGATGATACGTGCCACATGCATTTTTCTAAATATCAACTGTCGTTGCAGTAAGTGCAATAAAACCGTGCCTGGTTTTGATTCCAAGTACTCAACGTGAACGCGTGAGCCACTGAGTGTGTAGACTTTGCAACTTTATGCAATAAATATGCGTCTGACTCAGTGTACCTGAAACCGGTTCATTACTCCAAGTGGCCCCCAATAAGCCATCCCCAAGCATTTTAAATGTTAACTCCTCGGTCAAAAACACTAGCGGAGAACTGGGGCTCTGGAGACAAAGGGATAAACTGCTCAGACACTCGAGGGCTCCTGAAATCAGAGGGCCGTGTGCCTTTGCTTGTAGTCCTATCTCCGCTGGCTAACGAAGGTTTGACTCGCAGTGGGTGCTCATCAAACACATATTTATTTATTAAATACTAGATAAGAGCATGACTGACTGAGTTGGCTGTGGAATTTAGTACAAGGGCAGGAGGAAGGAAGGGAGCAAACTGAAACTTCATTCCATGTAGACTATCCCATGTATCCCATCCCATCTGAGACTATTCCCCGCACTTCACAGTTGAGTAAGCTAGGACTTGGGTACGGCGATCTGCCCGAGGTCCACCAGCCAGGAAGAAGATTCAAACCCAGCCCGAAGCTCCATCTATCCTCCTGGCTCTCCTGTGCGTGGGGGAAGGCTACTCTCCCAGGGGTCTCTGGGAACGGGGCTCAGCCTTTTTCCCAGCAAGCAGAAAGCTACAGAGTTTGTTCTCAGTGGCTAATATTCGCATGGGATTACCACGTTCAGTCGATGGTCTTCAGAGGAAAAACAAAATGCCTGGGAAATAGGAAGGGGCAATGATAAGACCAGGCCTGTGAACGTGCTCCGTGGTTTCAAGAACACTCCTTAGGCACCATGTGGGTGCATGTGTCTGAGTATCTACATAAACAAGCACCCAAACAACCTTAAGTTATCTGTGTTACAGTGTAAACACTGCACACCAAAAAGAGGAATGTGTACTGGCGATAGCTTAAAGGTCACACGGGGCCTTAATGACATCCAGGAAAAAGTCTGCGCTCCCGACAACAGGGGCACCCACCCAACTCTGCCCTGTGTTTCAAGATCCCTCCAAACCTACCAAGCCCACGTCACTTCGTTTATTCTGTCCATCTCCTCAGCAGGCTTAAGTTTCGTCTATTTTTCTCAGCACAGCTTCCTTTTATATTAGAGCACATTTCTCCTGTCTAGGTTGTAATATCCACAAAGGGCGATTCAGTGACTACAGGGTGTCCATAAAGTTCATTTTTAATTGCACACAAACTTTTATGGACACCCTGTATTTCTCACTATGCCTACTGCAAAGTTTTCTATATACAAAAGGTTTAGGCCGGGTGTGGTGGCTCACGCCTGTAATCCTATCATCCTGGGAGGCGGAGGCAGGAGGATCCCTTGAGCTTAGGAGTTTGAATAGCCTGAGCAAGAGGGAGACCCTTATCTCTACTAAAAATAGAAAAGTTAGCTGGGCATGATGGCAGGTGCCTGCAGTCCCAGCTACTCAGGGGGCTGAGGCAAGAGGTTCACATGAGCCTAGGAGTTCAAGGTTGCTAGGAGCTATGCTGACACCACAGCACTCTAGCTGGGGCAAAAAAAAAAAAAACCAGGTTGACTGAGTTAAAAGTGGTGTATAAGCCTCTGTATGAACACTGGAAAATGAAAGTAAGGATGAAAAAGTATCTGGGTTGCAGGAGCAACTCATTATTTTACTGGTTTAATTTTGTTTTATTTTTAATCTACAACTTCAAGCACTCTCTGCCAATTGAAGTCATGCTTCTTAACACTGGAATGATATTTCTAGGGTTCATTTATTGTTTTAGGGAAATTTTTAATGAAAAATAGCCATTTATGTGTTAAGGAATAAAATGAAAAGTTCATGTAATTTTTAAGGTGTAACATGAAATCCCTGAAAAAAAAAAATTGTACTTGGAATATATTTTGTGGCTAAAAGGATGTTATTTTTTTACCCCAATAATATCCTTTTTTAAAGTCAAGAACAATTTTAGATTTACATAAAAATTAAGGAGAAAGTACAGTTTCCATGGGCCCCTTCCCTCCCCCCCCCCACATGCAAATTCCCCTGTTAGTAACATTTACACTCCTGTGGTATCCTTCTTACAATGAGCCAATGTTGACACACTGTTATTAACTAAAGCCCGCAGTTGACATTAGGGTTCACCCTTCCTGTCCAAGTTCTGTGGGTTTTGACCAATGTATACTGTCACGCATCTGTCCCCACAGGATCCAAGAGACCCCCTCCCTACACATCCCCGCACTCCAAGAAGGAATGCTGTGTTTTAGGGTCCTCTACTATTACGGGTCTATTGACGGAAAAGCCAGAAAAACATAAAACTATCCAACAGGTCCAAATGTTTTAGACTGTCATTCAGGCTAAATGTGGCCCTCCATGACACAACTCTGAGTTTTCCAGCCTTCTTTTCCCGTGGTCCTCCAGACCTCATCCCTGTGGGTGGCTGTCCCAGTGTGTGCCCAGGTTACTGTGCCCAGGTTACCGCGTCCTGCTTTTCTGGTCCGCTCACGCGGTTCCCTGCAGAGGCTGCGTCTTCTTCCCACACTGCTCTCCCCGCCTCAAGCCTGCTTGTCTCTCAAACCCAGTCCGAATGCCACTGGCCACAAATCCCCCAACATAAAAACACTCTCCTCCTCCACATTCCCGCAGCACTCCGTACCTCTCCTTTAACCAGGATTTGGACAGACACCTCCACATCTGATTTCCAGTTGGAAGCAAAGAGACAGCCTCTTACTACTCATTTCTCCATCTTCCCTTCAGTCTGCATTTGTTTTTTACTAAATTCTTGCCAAGAGAATGAACGTATTTTACAGAGAAGAGTAAAATGAGTTTCCATTTTGGTGTCAGAGACAGAGAAACAAAGATACCCTCTCAAGAGTCTTCGTGTTACTAAGACTTAAGCTCACCCCTCCAAAAGGTTAGTCTTCAATATTATAAATAAGATACGATAGCCCCTACCCTCCTCAACAAAGTGTGTATGTTTTTTCGCTCTTCTTGGTTATGAGAGGAAGATGAGGGTCCATAGCAGCGGTTCTTAACCTGTGGGTCGAGATCCCTTTTTAACAATGAAAAGACACTGTGGCATTAGGAAGGTTGAGAACCACTGACTCTATAGGAACCACTATAGAGAACCACTGACTCTATAGGATTTTCTGATTTTTCTAAGTAGAAAAGATAAAGGAAGAAAGAAATACAGCTGGCCTCTTCATCGCCATGAAAATACTTCCCCAACACACATTTCCCCTTCTCCCTCTCCTTTTATCTGGGGACACCTTGACTAAGCAACATCCCTGCATGGACTATAGTTACGGGAGACACAGTCATTCCCTAGAGGTTTTATTTTATTTTGACTTAGCGATGGGTCCAGGAAGCCTGCTTCTAATTTTGTCTCTAGAAAACATAAGCTACTGTTTGTGCCAAGCTGTAAGTTGAGTAGGTGTTTTTGTTACTCCGTGCAATTACCCGTGAAAGAAGAAATGGACAAAATATTTGCATGACCAACAGCCCTGTGAGCGCGTTAACTTTCCAGCTGAGGGACCCGAGCGGGGTTGCATCAGGGTGCAGCCACCTATTTCACAACTTCAGTGTGTCTGGAGCAGGCGAAAGTCTTTAGGCAGGCCTAGTGAGCAAGGACCTGGATGTGGGCCATTTATCTAAGATCTTCAAACTTGGCTTTCAACTCTGTTATAGTCAACAAGCAGATTTTTCATAATATTCCAAAGTATAATGTATTTTAAAAAAATACAACCAGTTTCAAGAAAAAATAAAGGAACTTCTTTAACCTGATAGGCATAATATTTTGGGATCATGGAAGTGGATTAGAAAAGATGCAATTACAGAATCAAGCCCTAGAACTGAATGGTTTACCTTTAGAGTTTGATGTTGTCCCTTCTGAAGGTGGGGGGAGCTACTATTAGAACAGCTGGGGTGCAAATGCCCAAATCTAACACAGAAAACTTCACAAAAGGCAAAAGGCAAAAGTCAGACTTTGAAAGTGTAAGAGTATATG